GCTTTGCAGCTGCTCTTGAAAATCAGTTTTTCTTTTTGGCTGCTGGCTCCTGGCTTCCCAGGAGCAGCTGTTCGCGCTGACGAGCTGTGCCTCGTGTTTGTCTTCTGGTTTGGGTGAATGAACCCAAACGACCAGAAGCTGCCTCAACGCCTCTGCGGCCGCGGTGGGTGGCAACTGTTGTAAATTCTGCATCAGGGACTTGCACAATGCTTCAATTCTATTCAATTTGCAACGTATTTTACTCTAACGTGGATAGTTCTAGATCTATTTATTTCTGTACTTATTTTTTGTCATTGCAAATTTCTTATCTTATCTGACCTATATGCGCAATCGAATAAATATGAAATACAGTCAGGTTGTACTCGAGTAGTTTATGACTTGAGTCTACACTATGGGTATTATCAGAAGAAACGAAAATAAGAAATAAAATAATAGTGCAAATGATATATTAACATAACAAAATTATACTATGTATTATACTATTGAGAATCGAATAGAAAAATTTATATAAAATAATTAAGTTATATGATTGAGAATCGAATAGAAAGGCGCATTTAATTGATATTGAAGTCGCATTAGCTTAATAAGACGGTCTTCTCAATAAAAAATAATAATAGATGGAAACAAACCCGTAAAAGAGGTGAACAACGAAACTCTTACTAGTTTTGCTTTCAATTTTATTTAACATTGCCTCACTGTAGAATGAATAAATAATTATGCAAAGAGTGAGCACGTAAATAAATAAGAGATACCACAAAAGAAAAATTAAAATATAAACATAAATTAATTAAATAAGAAATAAAAATAGTCTCAATACTACTTGAATAATTTACTGAGAATGGCATAGAAGAGTTGGCTGCATTCAATTTACATGGCTTTTACAAGAGTTTTACTTTACTGAGAATCGCATAGAAGAGATGGCTGAATTCAATTTACAAGAGTTTCTTATCAGTCAATGCTAAGAAATCTATTTGACTTTTACTTTTATTTATTTTCTTACATTTTACATTTAAGATGCTTTTCACTTCAATTTCGTGTGCTTTGCCCCACTGTGGCACGCCTTTAACTATGCCACACATTTCATAGCTGTCGTTTTGTCGGCTGTTTCACTCTTCTCGTGTACGTTTTTACGGTAAACAAAGTGAAAGAGTTGGCAAAACATACGCTCGTTGCATGCAAAAGAACGTTCATAAACAGAAGTAAGACAGGCGAAAACAACAAAAACAAAAAAAAAGTGCCGCCCCCAGAGCTGCCCGCCCATAGCCGAAACTGTGACTGTGACTGGTCCAGCTTGTGCTTTTTGGGAGCGAGCGCGCGCTCACTCTCTCGCGCTCGCTCTTGCTCTCTCGGCTGCAGGCTCTCGTTTGGCTGTGCTTTTGACTGCTTGGGCAGCTTTTGCACAGGATAACAAAGCTCGGCGCAATCAGTCGTTGTACTTAGGCGAAACATAGCTGGTCGAGTTGCGCGCTGCAAGTGCCAGCCGAACGCGTTGTTATCCTTGATAAAAAGAAAAAATTAAAAAAGAAAAAGAAGAAGCCACAGAGGCTCTCTGTGTGTGTGTTGGTGTGTGTGTTCGTGCGTGTTGTTTGATGAGAGTTTTTTTTGCAAGTAGGTCCCGTCCGACATACTAGCAACAACAACAACAACACCGTTCATAAATAAGTGACGACTGCATCATCAGCTGTTGGCACAGGACGCGAGCGCGTTTTAATGTTGCCCCATTTGGCTGGCGAACGTGCGGCGCCTCAATTAGTTGCCAGCCAATGAGCTAACGTGTGTGTGAGTGTGTGCGTGTGTGTGTGTGCGTTCGTGTGTTTGTTTTGAAGAAACGCTTTCAAGCTGGATTACAGCGGCGACAACAACGGACCCTGGGAGAAGCAGAAGCAGACCCAATCGACTGGCGAGAATGCTCCTGGCAAGAGCAATGAGCAACTGCAGCACGATCTGTTGCAGCAGCTGCAGCAGCAATTCCAAATGGCTGCCGTGCAACAGCAGCAACAGCAGCAGCACCAGCAGCGACAACTGCTGCAGCATCAGCACTCCCATCCGCCCTTCCAGCAGCAGCAGCCGCCGCTTCCGTCTAATCTATATGGCAGCGCTCATGCTCATCCGCATCAGCACGCACATCCGCCGTTGCAGCATCATTTGTCGTTAGGTGGCGCGCCTGCCTATCAGCTGCAACAGCAACAGCAGCAGCAGCAGCAACAGCAGTCGGCCCAGCCCACCGCCAACCATTGTCAGTACTCGACGCCGCAGCATCATTATCGCAGCAATGCGGCAACAACAACAACAACTACAATGGCCGCTGCCACCATACGACGTCGCACCTTAAGCCATGTGGCACGCTCGTATTCCGTGTGCGCCACCATGACGCCAGCCAGCAGCGGTGGTTCAGGTGGTGCCGGTGGTGCAGCCATAACCATTACCCAGCTAAAGGCGGCCAATCCATTGCCAGCCAATGTGCCCAGCAGCAGCTCTTCCGCCACAACGGGCACCCACTTGGCCAGCAGCGCCACCAAGCTGACCGTTGCCGGACACCACAAGACGGGCATCATGGTCGCCGCATCGCGCTGCCGCTCGCCCATTATGCTCTGCCACAGTCACAGCGACGGCGAGTTCCCCATGTATCGAGGTGAGTGAACAGCAGCAGCCCACTGGGGATTAGGGTCAAACGGAAGGTTCGTTTGAATGCCAGGCCCAAATAAGGCCAGTTCGACGGCGCTAATGAACAGTTGCCGTAACTGTTACAATTACAGTTACAGTTACAGTTGCTATTGCAGTTGAGCTAATGTGATGAGGGGCAGAGGGCGGATGATGCTCTGGAGTTTTGTGACATCATCAGATGATGATTTGACTTGATATTCTATTTTAGAGTTAGAGAGATATGGAAAGGATATGGGGTGATAGAATTAAAGAAAAAAGTAAGAGGTATAAGCAGAGATAGCGAGAAGAGAGGCAGAAACAAAGAGTGAGATAGAAAGATAGAGAAGAGAAAGTGAGAGACACAGATTGAGTGGAAGAGAGATAGATAGAGAGAAATAGGAGCCATAGAGAGTTAGAAGCAAACAGAGATATGGAATGAGAGACAGAGAAAAAGAGGGAGAGATAGAGTGAGGGAGAGACATAGGCTGGGGAGAGATGGGATAGAGAGAGTTAGTGATAGTGATAGAGATATATTGTGGAGAGATAGTGAGAGATGGGCCGAGAAAGAGAGAGATAGGATGAGAGAGACAGATGGAGAATAATAGCGTGAATTAGAGAAAAATATAAGTAGAAAGAAAGAGAGAAATATAGAGGAAAAGATAGAATTAGAGAGAGAGAGAGATAGAGGTAAAGATAGAATTAGAGGGAGAGAGAGAGTGATAAAGAGAATGAGAAAGTAAAAGACATAAATATAGATGGAGATAACGGGATAGAGGAAAAGATAGAGAGAGTGAAAAAAAAGAGAGCAGAGGAAGAGGATGGTGGAATGCCATAGGCTAGTAGCAAAATGTATGATAACATCGAGTTCAGATCATCTTAAATTAATTAAAGTAATATATTACGCTTTGACTGCAGAGCATCCTTATCTTTTCACAAAACTGATTGATAATAAAAATGCATATAAAATGCTCAATTAAATCGCATCTCGATTGTGCTTGCCAAAGGGGAAAACACACAGAGAGAAAATGCTCATGCATCTGATTGATTGGCGGGGGAGTAGGTGGGGGAGCAAGGAGTCTACCAACACATCCAACTAACATGATGCATCAGCATTTGCAACAACAGCGAGCAACTCATTAAAACAACGATTGAGGGGGGACAAATCGAAGCGAGTATCGAAAAGATATGCGTTCCCTTGACAGCATGGAACTGTTGTAGAGTAGGGGAGGCAAGGGTAGTTTGGGGTGGTGCTGGAAACTGTAATTTAATTAAGCGCCCCACCAAATGGCGACACTCTATATGCGGCACATAAAAGAAATGGTTAAAACAAAAATCAGTTTCGCTAGACGGCGCCAAGGCAACGGCGGGAGTATGAGAATGAGATGAAGACAGACAGAGAAAGAGAAAGACAGACAGAGAAAGAGAGAGAGAGATAGAGTGAGGAAAGTGTGAGAAACAACAGTAAAAAGGACAAAGGACATTCCCCACATTGCATTGCCAGCGCGCCACTTAATGAGTTGACGGCACAAAGAGGGCGTGGCACACACACACACACAGTCTGTGCGAAATAAAAAAATATATAAAACTTGACTCGAATGCATTTTTATTATATTTTTTTTTTATTTTTGTACTTTGTTTTTCGTGTTTAACTTGATGTCTTCAGTGTGAAATGCTCAAAGCGTAATTGGCCAACTAAAGTACTTGGTAAATTTGCATAGCCGCCATTTGGCATGGTTGTGTTTAAGTGGCATAAATACCAAGTGGTTAATCCGCATGTTAAACTGCAGCTGCAGAGAAACCCAAATGGAAACCTATTTAAATTTAGCTGTGAATGGGAGGGGCAGCGGAAATTACAGTTAATCATATGACTAGAGCTCAGGTTAGACTTAATTGGCAAAACGAAATGTTAACTATTTTACAATTTGTAGGAAATAATACTTAAATATTAGTTAATCCTCATGTCAAATGGGGCTGTAAATGAAGCAAGGAAAGAGAGGTAAAAACTTAGTGTAATGCCCTCATTTTCAATTCAGCTGTTAAATATTTACACTTATAAGGGAAACTTAAGCTCAGAGCTAGACAGCAGATATTGTACCAAAAATTTGGTTGAATTACTATATAACTAGATTTCAGATTAATTATTGGTAAAGCATCATCACAAAAGCTTCAAAAACTGCTTCAACGGTTTATCCCCAAGTTAAATGTAAATGTTAAAAGCTAAAACCCATTTTTCTTCACAGTAAAAAAAATTTTAAAATATATTTTTGGGTGTAGAAATCTATTTGGGAAGTCAGAAGTGAAAATTTGTAAGTCCGCCCATCTTATATCTTAGCCCCATCAGAGTTTAATAAACTGCATTGACATTGGGACTAAGTCAAGCATTTCTTGTATTTCAATTCAAATGTATTCATATTTACATTTACATAATTGCATCCTGCTCGGTTTCCTCCGACAGCATATCTACATCGATGTCCTCCTCCTCCTCCTCTACTTCGACAGTCTCGTTTTCTTCCTCATCGTCCTCAATTTCGCACTGCTCTTCCTCCATCTCTTCCTCGTCCTCGTCGCCCTCCTTTGAGTTAGCATTCTCATTCTCTTCGGCATTCTCCTCCTCCTCATCCGTCTCCTCTTCCGACACTAATTCAACAATGCGTGCTTTAAACTCATCAAATTCATTTTCGAGCGACAAAATGTAATCCCTGAACATCGTAACGCTTAGCTCTTCAGTGCGATTCTCCAAGAGATCTAAATAGGGGCATAGCGGGTCCCTAATGTAGATGCGATGACGCTGAGGTATTCCATTCTGATTGTGAAGCGTACGCTCCTGGGCATTGATGATGGCCACGCACAGCAGAAATAACAGTAAATCCAGAGCATACGGTGTCATTTCGTTGAGTCGATCCCCGAAATTGAGCTGAGCCGGTGGTGGCATCAGTTCGAAACGGACCGACCTCAGCACACGGCGTAAATACATCTTACGCTCCGTATAATCGCTAATGACCCACAACAGGCCCGCGTAGAACACCTCTACCTCGGTGTGAACGCCCAGCAAATCGGAGCTGAGCAGAGTGCACACCACATTTACGTTCAATTCGCGAAACTCGTCCGACGACACGAACACGAGAAACGATTTGCCGATGCGATCGATCATCAGATCGGCGACACTCGAAATGCCCTTGGTGCAGGCCTCGGTGAAGCAATTAAAGGCATCTAGATTCGAGAAGAAACGCTCATCATTCAGGGCCCCATAGACGCTCTGCACCAGCTTCGGGGCGTCCAAATACTCGGCTGCCACTAGCAGATCCAATAAATTGCCACGCTGACAGCTGCTATCCGAGCTGATCATCCAATTGTAGGCGAGGAGAAAGGACTCTGCCGAAATCTTATCCTCGGGCAGCGTAAAAGCCTTGCCCGACAGCAATGTCTGCTCAAAGCACTTGCAGAATGTGCGCAGCACACAGCTATGACACTCGAAGACCTGCTTTCCAATCGTGATCTTCACATCCTTCACCAGAGTGTTGACCATGAAGTTCTCAACGGCCTCCTGCAAGGGCGTCTTCTGCGGCAACACCTTCTGCATCTGACTCGAGCTCAAATTCGTCGAATTCTCGGCATCCTTCACCTGTGCCTCCTGCTCGGAGGGCTGGTGATTCTTGACAGTCGACATGTCCAATTAGCTGAAGAATATATATATATATATATAGAGAGAGAAAATCAAAACAAAGAGTTAATAAACTCACTGCAAATTAATTTAAAAATAAAAAAAATCGTATGAATCGCACTTGGTACAATTTATTATAAATTTGTTCTTAATCAAATTTTAGTAGCTTAATCGACAGCTAAAACAATATTCGCAGTGCGCACAGTTCAAGTTCAATCACTCAAAACAATTTTGCTAAGATTCTGTGCGAATTCTACAAATTGGACAGGAAAAGCAACGCCTCCTGTGCTAAAGTGCCACACATTATAGGCGGGCAAATACCATATATAATTTAAACAAAAGCACAAATGAAAAAATTATTATTTAATTTTCAGTAAAATGTGTTGTATGAGGTAAAAATAAACCTAAACAAAATTTCTACAAGCTTGAACAGTTATCAGAGAATGATTAGAGAATTTTAACAATATGTCTGATTTGTTTGTAGAATATTGGAGACATTTCATGCGACAAGGAAACATTTTTGAGAATGGAAGTGGAACTTTCCAAGACTTTTGTTGAAACAAACAAACTAGAATATTGAATATATAAAGCATTACAAATGGGTTTATTCAAATTGGGAATGAGAATAAAGAAATCAAGGCTATGACAAATTAGTTTGCAAAAGTTTTTTATGATAATAAAAGAGAGGTGAGCAGAGATCCAACAGGAAAAGCCAATGCCAACTGTGCAGGGTATTCTTACAGTGTTGTGCAATTCGTAAATGGGATGAGTTGCTTTGAAGGAGTGTTGGCAATCGTCATTAGCAGAGAGCCAGTGTTGGAAAGAAGAATTTCGATAGAATTTCGGAAGAATTAAGATAACACTTTTAATTAATAAACGAAAGGTTGGAAATGACTGTTAGGAATGCATTTGGATTATCATAGACATACAATATATAAAATATATGTGCTAATAGTTGTTGAGAAATTTAGCTGTTGATAGTTAGCGCTAGAGACAGCAGCTCTGTTCTCTCTCAATATAAACAAAAGCAGAAATCTTTCGAAGCTACTTGAAGTAGACTTTAATATATTCCTTAAAATAAATAAAAAAGTAGCAAGTTGTTGAATTTATGTAATGTAAATGTATAAGAGTTTATAGTAAAGTTCATATAGTAAAGTTAAGTAAATATATTCTATTGATTTCATATAAGCTTCTGCACCTCTTTAAGTAAAATAAAATTAAAAAATAAGGATATACATATATAATGTCATAATATAGTTTATATGATTTCTATATAATCTATATACTTCATATTAGGTATTTGTCCTCTTCGAGCTTAGTAAAATTCTTCTATTGTTCTTCATAGCTCTGGCTTCATTTTAAATTTAATTTAGTTCGAATTTAATATTAATAAAAGCATTATGTGGCTACATAAGCCTTTTGTTGGCTCTCGCATGCCACCAGCTACAGTATTGTAGCAGACCCCAGTGAATTTCTTGGTCTTTGGTTATCTAGGCAGCTGGCTATAGAAATGCATTGCAATGGCAGTCAACGCGCGAGTGAAACCTTTAGGGATGCGCCACAAAGCGGAATCGTAAAATCAAATGCTCACCAGAGAGCGAAATAAAGGCGAAAGAGAGAGATAGAGAGAGAGAGAGAGAGATAGCGAGATTGAGAGTGAGTGTGAGTGAGAGTGTTAGCGAGAGTTAATGTAATCTTTCGCAATAACACGAAAGCTACAGGCATACAGGCTATATGTAAGGCTTATGCACTACCCAAAACAGTGCATGCTTATAGGGTATATTCGCACTCGTGGAACTAGAATGAAACTTCAATGATTTAGATAATTTGGCGCAGCCTTAGTTAAGCATGTGGCGCAGTAAACTTTACCCATTTGATCTCATTTATTTCCGTTTACCAAACACCCACGCACACACGCACACCTACAGTCGGCACTCGCTAATGACGTCAAGTTTGGCCCAAATCAATAGGCCGTAAACAGAAGTAAAACTTATGTGGCTAGAAAATGTTTTGGCACAAGTTGCAAATTAAATTTACATTTCATGCACGTAACCGTGGCACTCCCCCTCACCCCCTCTCTCTCGCTGGCTCTCTCTTTGTCTACTCATCCTTAATTGTGGCAGCAGCGCGCCTGGCACAAAGGATGCTGCAGTCCGCCTGGCGAGCTGCCAACTTGAGCCAATTATGTGGCAAGCGAAAGGAGGCAACGGCAGCTGCAAAAGCGAAATCAATACGCGCAACATTAACTCGAACGCTAAAGACACGCCATGGACTCATTAGCTTGTGGCGCACACACTCACACACACACGCACAGAGAGAGACTCTAACTACCCGTCAAGATGGGCCAACGAGCTGTCAAAGTGTGTGTGTGTGTTTGTGTTTTTCGATTAGGACGATGCTGTTTGCCATCATTGTAGCCAAGTTTGTCATAAACGTTGCCATATTGACAGCATTAATACCCCGAGTACTCCAAATAGATCGACTATGAAATTGAGTTGAGATATTGAGTTGAGATATAAAAGTACATATGTATATAGATACCAATATATCATCATGTCACAGCTGCATTATGGATATTAAATACATATTAAGTGGATCAAGTAGAGCTTAGATGTGGTAGAATGTGGAGAGAACTTCTTGATATAAAAATAGGAAAGATATGCATGTACATATATATGTATATATGTCTATGTATGTGTTTATGTACAGTTAACTCCTTCATATAATATGCAAGATATAATATGCAAGATATATACAGTCGTCTCCGGTCATAACGATGATCCCTTTAACGTCGCTATAACCGGATACGACTGTATATATCTTTTAGTGGAAAACTCTATAATCTATAATAAAACTTATGTTTGTCTGGGGTTCAGAATTTTTGGCGCAATAACCACACAGACGCTATAAGCAGAGTTGTTATAACCGACATTTCATATATTTGATATATTGATATACATATATAATAATATATCGACATATGATATATTTGATATATTGATCGTCTATCAAAAATCCTCTAGCTATACTTTTATAGAATATGTAGTGAAATTCGAAAGTCTTTCATATACCTAGAGCACTCAGATTATGTTACAGATATACATACATGTATACTATAGCACACATATCTTATATAGACACTTTCATTCAATTAATAGTAAAAACTTTTCTAAGTACTCCCCCCATTCACCTTCCCCAGTTGTGAAAGCAGTCCAATTAAATGTTAAACAAGGCCCATAAATAGCAACTACTTGTGGCTATGATACTTTGGATAGCTACTTAAGGATGCTTCAAATACTTATAAACAATCTGTGAACACGAGAGAGAGGCTTGAGGGCAAAGTGAGGGGCGGGCGGGCGTGCGAGTTGAGGCAGCTTAAAGCTCGCTCAGCCTTAAGCAAAATTGCAGCAAAAGTTAAGCTGCAAGACGACAAAATTCTTAAGAAATCTAATATAATATATATGTGTGTATGTGTCTCCCCTCTTCCTCTCTCTCTCTCCCTCTCTTGGTACATACATCTTCATCTACATATGTGCGTGCTTTGGCATTTTGGATTAGGCGCTGCCAATTGCGGCTTGGCTGTGCCACGCCCTCAAGTGGCAATTCATGTTTGGCCTTTATGCGCTGGCTTTTGGCTTGTGGCCATTGTTTGTTGTTGCCATTGTTGTTGTTGTTGTTGTTGCTGTAGAATTAACATAAAAATGCGCAGCACATGACAGGCGCAGATAATCTTTATTTACACACACAAACACACACACAGAGATGAGAGACTTGGCCAAGTCCTTGAACCTTGCCAACGTCTTTGAAAAACTCAATCAGCAATTGCTTTACGTTTTATGCAAATGACAATATTTATAATCTATATATATATATATATAGTATAATATATCTGTGTATATATATTTGCGTGGTTCTTCTTTATTTATTTATGCTGGCCTACTTACCTGCTGACCATGCCCACACCCACGCCCACGCCCACTCCACGACATCAGCTGCATGCACTGCACATAATTGCATTCAAAGCCACACCGCACCACCGCCTACTGCCTCCCCCCCGCTGGCTGTTCAACTCAAGTTGAGGTCGTTTGCTGTGCATGTGGCCGACATTGTTGACCAGGCCAAGTCAAGTCAAGTCACGCCTCTCCCCTCCCTCTCTCTCTCTCTCTCTCTCTCTCTCTCTCTCTCCATCGCTTGGCTTATTGAGTGGCGCAGCAAATGACAATAAAGCGGTTACTTATACGCCATGTTGTACGCTTGTTGCCGGGGCTCAGCTCGGTCTGCTTCGGCTGCTGCTGCTGCTTCTGCTGCTGCTGCTGCCATATTATTGACAGCTTTGTTGCCTCGCATTTATTTAACAATTTTCCATAATTAAGTGCATTCAACTGCCTTCGTTTTTAATGGAAATATATTTATATATTATATACATATGTATATGTAGGTAGCGTTAGTTTGATAAAGCAGAAGTATTCGACTGGCCAATTATGCATTCTGCAGCTATTCTTTTTAATGTGAGATGAATGGGAGGATAATTGAAAAACGAGAAAGGGTATATGTGTATGTGTGCAATGAAAGAGAGAGAGATGAGCTTAATGCGAGACTGTTTGCTGATTGGTATTTGAGGAATGATAAGTGTAGTTAAGCTACTCACTCTTAAAATGAAAAGAGTATATTGGTTTGGAGGTAAGATTAGTGTAAATGGTGGATAAAGAGGAAGAAGACGGCAAAGAGAGAGAAAGATTGAGAGAAGACTGCTTGAAAGAATAAAGACAAAAAGGAAGAAAGGCATAGATAGATAGAGAGATAATGAGAGAGGAAGAGAGAGAGAGAGAGAGAGAGGGAGACAGGTTGAAAGAGTGAGATAGAGAGAGATATATATATGAAGAAAGAGAAATAGGTAAATGTAGAGCAAGACAGAGGGCGAGACAGACAGAGAGAGAGAGAGAAGAAACGGAAAGAATTCAATAACAACAGTGAGAAAGGGGAACAGAGAAAAGGCAACAGAGTGAGAAAATGAAAGAAAACAACAACGCTATATCGATGTTATGCTTCTACCTTCCCCAGTTATTCTTTTATGGTCATTTTGCCCTCCTAGTAGTTGTCTTTATTAGTGATAATGTATAGGTTTTCTATTTTCTTAAATTAAGAAGTGAAGCGCTTTTAATATCCTATATTTTCGTGAAATATATTCAACAGAAAGAAGGGATGTATTCCATTTTTAAGTTGTTTAGTTTAGATTATTTAGATTATTATTACAATATATATTTAATAAATATAACTAAATTCTTTGGTCAAAGAATATTATAACATTTAACTTCCATAAAATTTCCTATGGAACCTCATGCTAATCGTTCTAATTCTTCACTTCTTTCTACCAGTCCTTCACACTTTTCACTTTTGAATACCCTGTAAATTCCGTAAGAATCAATAGACGCGCTTATGTTTTGCCCCAGCTCGACC